GCACATATTAAAAAAACTAGCAACAACAAATGTTGGCGAGGGTGTGGAGAAAAAGGAACTCTTGTGCACTGTTGGTGGGAGTGCAAACTGGTCCAACCACTATGGAGAGCTGTGTGGAGATTTCTGGACCTACTAAACATAGAGCTTCCATATGATCCAGCAATTCCACTCCTAGGTATTTACCCAAAGGACACAGAAACATCAATTCCAAAGAGCACCTGCACCCCTATGTTTATAGCAGCACTGTTTACAATAGCTAAGCTTTGGAAACAACCCAAATGCCCAAAAATAGATGACTGGATCAAGAAGATGTGGTACATATATATCATGGAATATTACTCAGCATTCAAAAAAGATAAACACATGCAATTTGCAGCAACATGGATGGCGCTGGAAGGGATCATGCTCAGCGAAATAAGCCAGAAAGAAAAAGAAAAATACCGGATGGTCTCACTCATAGCAGGAATCTAGAAAACTTAAATAAGGGACCAGGAAAATGAATATAAGAAAGTGAAAATCAAAATCAACAAAAAACTATGAACCAGAGACACTTTTTGGGGGGTGGGGGGTGGGAGGGGAAGGATTGGGGTCAGAATGGGGCGTTTGCAATTGTATGGGGTAATATAAAAATAAAATTTATTATTTAAAAAAAAAAAGAAAAATAATGAGTGTTGAAAAGGATATGGAGAGAAAGCTACCCTTATAAAAAAAAAAAAAAATGGGGATTCTGGAGGTCTGATGTGGTCAGCCTATTTCTTAGGTTCTTGAAAGGCAAGATTCCCAGCAACACAGATACTTATTTATACTTGATAGTGGTACCCCGTGATTGTACTAAGACCCTAAGAACCTAAAATTCTGAATGCTCTCAGATCCTTTGGCTCTGGGGCTACCAACTACTCTAGCTAATGTTCAACATGACTAGCTGGTAAAGCCATCAATCCTTATATATTCTAAATACCTCTCTCTAAGATAGGTTGTTTCTTGGGAAGGTAACAAGCTAAAGTTAAGTGCCAAACCTCAGAGGATGCCTTTTTTTCCCTTATAAAAGCAAATCAGGGCCTCCCCAGTGGCGCAGCAGGTTGAGAACAGCACGGTGAAGTTGTCCACAGCCTCTGCTGCATGGGTTCGATTCCCCGTCGACCAGGAAGAAGCCCACATGGCGCAGCAGACCTCTCCGGCCTTGCCCGCTGCTCTCCTCAGCAGTGTTTTCATCAGTCTGCCTGTTCTGCTCCCCGTTCTGTCTCTGGTGAATTCTCTCACCCTCCCACACGCCTCTGGCCTGTACCCAGTTCTTGTATAAATAAATAAATCTTTTTAAAAAAAAACAAAGCAAATCAAAAATTTAAAAAGTCATACCATTGTGCCCAAATACATACATGTTTGAAAGTAGTGAACAGCTCTAGAATTCATCAAAGTCTTCTGTCATCTTCTTTCCCTCTTCCCTTCAATAAAAGACTAATACAGATGTTGATACTAATACAGGCCCATGTACATGGCTGCCAAGTATGAACCCTAGGGTTCTTACCAATAGATATTTTCAGACCTACAAAATTCAAGATTTTTTCCCCTAAAAACTGTTATGTTTTTATAACTATGAGGTGATCCTCCAAATATGGACCAAGACTAGCAGCAACACATTGATTTTATTATACTTCTCCAGAGTACCTCTGGGCAATACTCTGATAACACAGTATTACAATTTTGGAGTTGAAAATGACTAAAGAAACATTTGATGCTATAGCATAAAGCCAAATCAAGCTCACTCTCTATCACAAAAGAATCAAATATTTCATGTACATAACTGTACATCTGCTTCTCCAAGTGAGGAAGTAATTTTCCCTAATCAGCAATATATATTAAAGCAAACTTTCACACAGAGGAAGCAGATAACTACAGCACCTAAGCCCTGCTGTTCAATTCAATTTGTTTAAAACCACTTACAGAGCAAAGACAGGTTAGATTTTACTTCTCCTTTTGCCTTGTCACGAAAAACTAAAGCAGTGAAAATTGGAAGAGATCACATGAATAGTACCTTCCAGAAGTTATATTACCTCTTAAATTAAGTCAAAGGCATACGTCATGCTAACTGTTTTTAGAATAAAACAACTATAAAATGAAACCGAGAAGGGCCTCCCTGGTAGCACAAGGGGTTAAATCTCAGCACTATGAAGCTATCAGCAGCCACTGAAGCATGAGTTGGATCCCAGGCCAGGGAACTGACCCACATGGTGCATCAGACTTCTCCTGTCTTGCCTGCTGCTCCCCTCAGCAGTGTATTTCAGTCAGTCCACCTGTTCTGTTCCCTACTCTGTGGTGAATCCTCTCACCCCCTGCACCTCTGGCCTGTACCCCAGTTCTTGTGTGCATAAATAAATCTTTAAAAAAAAATGAAACCAAGGAAAAGAACATGGATTTTTTTTGGTCCTTTTAGCTAAAGAAAAAGATCAAGAAGTAATACAAAATTCTATCAATGGAAACTGTACTCTACCAATTTTAAGACAAACACCATGACTTCTTTGGATTCATTTAAACACAAAGAGATAGCAACATGCCCAGTAACCCAGAAGGAACTAGAAGGATCTGTGCTCAGTGGGTACTATGATACAGCAGGCGTTACTGCCCACTTCTCCAGATGCATCAAAAAGTAATTACTCTTGATTGCATCGGTACTTCTCTGGGTAATTTTCCTTGCCCACAAATCTGTTATAATAATACGGGGTAATATAATTCAAGCATTTTCCATTTGTTAGTATATAGTACACAAGCGGACTGAAGAGCAGAAAGGAACCAAGAACCTAAGGGGAAAGAGATACTTTTCCCTCTAAATTTTCCCAAGTAACTCATTTCTAATCGTGGCTGCTCTTATCCAAATGACTCTAATGCTTTTCTCCACATGGAAATAAAGTGTTTACTTTGGGGAAGAATTTCATCCAGCTCCTCCTACCTGGCAAAGGTATTTTTCATCAGAGGATGGCTAGCTGACTTTTCGATAAAGGTATTTACAGTATCCTAAGGGCTTCTTTTCCTTCATTTAAAAAAAAAAATGTTAAGAGACCACCCATATCAAACTTCCCCTCCTTGGAAGTTTGGGAGAAAGTTCCTATACAACAGTAACTGAAACCTATGACCAAGACCCTCAAGGATCTGACTAAACCTTACCCACAGAAAAATGTTTCTTTAACCAGCAAGCAGAAAGACAGTAGAAATACTAGAGCAGACTCATTCCTGAGAACATGAGGTTCCATTTATGGGCAGCTTCAGCCTGGGGAAAATTTAGAACAGTACTGCAGTCCATGACTGCTGTGAAATCTTCCCTTCCCTCCTCCTTTCATATGTGTCAGACCAGTTCTGTGGTCTTAAGACACAACGGGGTCTCAGAGCAATGCTGCTGTCTTTTCCCTCCCTTTATATTTCCTAGTTCTTTTCCCCAATAAAATTCTTATATGTCTGATCCCATTTGTGGTCTGCTTCTAGGGGGACTTGAACTACATACCTACAGTTGCTTCAGTTTTCGCAGCAACTTGAGGCCTCGAGGAAGCAACTTGGGATCTTCCAGTCCTCATACTCCAACATAGAAATTATACCTCTTAAGACAAACTATTCCTTCCTAGACTTACCCCTGGGACGAAGCCACTGGAAGCCAACAGGCCGATGATGTCCTTATTTCACAGACATCATGAGTAGGTTTGAGATTTCTGCTTGCAGGTCTGAGATAAAACCCATGGAAGGCTAAAAGCCAATGGTATGGCAGAAATTGACCCTGAAGACTAAATCGATAAGGTAAAATGTGTAAAAGGCTTTACATTTTGCAGACCTGGAAAACATGACCCTGACTCATGCTAGAAATAGCTTTCATGCTCACACTACACTAAACATGGAGCAATATATCTATAACCAAGTTCTCAAGTGATGGCACTATTCAAAATGAAAAGACAGTTAGGTGAAGTAAAAATATTCACAGCAAAAATCCTATTCCAAAGTGACCGTTTATACCTACTAGAGAGATTTCAACAACAGTTAGCACGAGATTCAAAGTCAGTTCTTAAGCAGTAGAAGGTATTAGTGTATAAATGCTCTATTATTTAAGTGCCACAATGCCCCAATCCCAGCATCAGCTGAGGCTTTCAGATAAAGGAATAGGTGAGATTTTGAGGTAATAACAAGGGATTGTGTGGATTGTGTTAGAACCTAGCCACACTCTATCATTTGTCCTAAACCATTTCTGTTCCTCTAACACTTAGCACATGCAGTATTAAGTGACTGTACCAACCTACCCTTTTCTTCAGTAAGACATCCAAAGAACAAATCAGCATTATTGTTTATTCAGTACTGTGATAAAACATTATTATAAAATAGGACGGAAGAAGAAATCTTTCTAATTAGAGTTCCCTTGAAATTCTCAGAGAACAAAATAATCAAAAGCTTTGTTTTGCAAGCTTTTGGGTTGTGGGTTTTTTTGTTTTGTTTTGTTTTGTTTTTTGTCCTTTATTCTTGGTTAAGCTCTTAATGACAAAGAAGCCAAGCCCACTTACTAGTTTACTAATACATCTAAAGGCAATCATACTCACACTACTATTTTAACCCAGCAAGGCAACAAGGTGACAGTAGCTTTCCAAACTACCAGAGCAAAGGCTGACTGGCATTAAATTAGTATTTCATAAATCGTGCAGGCTCTGCCCATTTAGACGAGCTCTCTATGCAGAATCGGCAGTCTAATGCTGGCTCTCCCAGGCATTAAAAATCATCACTCTGCTAACCCAACTCACTGTTCAGACGGGTCTTCTTGAATGCAGCCTTTATTACAACCTCACTGCTGCTTCCTACACTGAAGAAAAACCATGTTTTTAAGCCAGGAGTTCTTCTTTCTCGCTTTATTGTAACCAGGGGGTCTTGCGACGACCCCGATACTGTTACAAAGCACAGTGCTCTGTAACAGTAAAGCTTCTGGAAAACCCAAACAAAAGACACGTCACCCGGTGACGTCAGCCTATATACAGTTCTGTGTGGTCGCAGCACATAAGCAAATTCATTCTTGTGCCGTTTCTCGGAAAAGCTTTTCAGTAAATGCACTCATGCTGCTCCAGGAGCTCTTCTCTGCAACAAGCAGCCCATCTGCCATCAACAAGTTAAGACCAAGAGAACTAACGGCTGCGGAAAGAAGGGACGGAAGCTTTGATTAACCAGCTGAGCAGTTAGAAGGACGAAATTAACAACTTGTGTTCAAAACTGATTTAGGGGATCAGAGTGGTCACAGAAAATGAAACCAATGCTTTCAAGAGGAATATCCTAAGGGGAAAAACAACTCACCCTAGCGGATTTATTTTACTCAGAAAGCCTGGGACACACAGAAAACAGGAAACTGGTCAAAGGCTCCTGCTCCTGCATGTCAGAGCCTTTTACAGACTCACTGCGTTGAGTCTAACAACCGCGACTGAATGCAGCCTCCAATGTGCTCAGAAGAATGGGTAAGTCCATGCATTTATTTGTCTTGCAGGATCCACGAGGAATCACGCTTTTAAAATAAGCCACTGAATTCGCATTTTGTGGGGGAAATCACCGTCATATAATTTTTTTGGGGGGGGGGGTATGGTTAAATTAAAAGCATCTGTAGCTCAAAAGAGAAGATGTTTTATCTTTTTTTTAAATGACTCAAGTTTTGTTTTAGTCATACTAACAAGGTTAGTTGTTCTGCAGCAAATGAAAAATGTTATGCAGTGAAATCTTTCATCTATAATGTTATGATGTTGTTGTTTTTAAAATAGCCTCTATGTTCTGCTGAAAAATATCCTATCTTCTTGTCTTCCTTAAATTATATTCTGCAGGCTTACATTTCAAGTGGCCATTAGGGGCCCCTATGCTGGCAGCAATATATGCAATGAGTATGGTTTTAAAAATGCTGCCTGCCCTGGGTATGGCGTGTCCACCCAAATGCCGCTGTGAGAAGCTGCTCTTCTACTGCGACTCTCAGGGCTTCCACTCAGTGCCAAACACCACAGACAAGGGCTCTCTGGGCCTGTCTCTGAGGCACAATCACATCACAGAGCTCGAAAGGGATCAATTTGCCAGCTTCAGTCAACTTACCTGGCTCCACTTAGACCACAATCAAATTTCAACAGTAAAGGAAGATGCTTTTCAAGGACTCTATAAACTTAAGGAATTAATCTTAAGTTCCAACAAAATATTTTACTTGCCAAACACAACTTTTACTCAACTGATTAACCTGCAAAATTTGGACCTGTCTTTTAATCAGCTGTCATCTCTGCACCCAGAGCTCTTCTACGGCCTTCGGAAGCTGCAGACCTTGCATTTACGGTCCAACTCCCTGCGGACTATCCCAGTACGCCTGTTCTGGGACTGTCGTAGTCTGGAGTTTCTGGATTTGAGCACAAACCGTTTGCGAAGTTTGGCTCGCAATGGATTTGCGGGATTAATCAAACTGAGAGAGCTTCACCTAGAGCACAACCAGCTGACGAAGATTAATTTTGCTCATTTCCTACGGCTAAGCAGTCTGCACACACTCTTCTTACAATGGAACAAAATTAGCAACTTGACATGTGGGATGGAGTGGACCTGGGGCACTTTAGAAAAGCTAGACCTGACTGGAAATGAAATCAAAGCCATTGACCTGACAGTGTTTGAAACGATGCCTAATCTTAAAATACTCCTCATGGATAACAACAAGTTAAACAGCCTTGATTCCAAGATCTTAAATTCCCTGATATCTCTCACAACCGTTGGTCTCTCTGGCAATCTGTGGGAATGCAGCCCTCGAATATGTGCTTTGGCCTCCTGGCTGGGCAGTTTCCAAGGTCGGTGGGAGCATTCCATCCTATGCCACAGCCCTGACCACACCCAAGGAGAGGATATTCTAGATGCAGTCCATGGATTTCAGCTCTGCTGGAATTTATCAACCACTGTCACTGCCATGGCTACAACTTATAGAGATCCAACCACTGAATATACAAAAAGAATAAGCTCATCAAGTTACCATGTGGGAGACAAAGAAATCCCAACTACTGCAGGCATAGCAGTTACTACTGAGGAACACTTCCCCGAGCCAGACAATGCCATCTTCACTCAGCGGGTAATTACAGGAACAATGGCTTTATTGTTTTCTTTCTTTTTTATTATTTTTATAGTGTTCATCTCCAGGAAGTGCTGCCCTCCCACTTTAAGAAGAATTAGGCAGTGCTCAATGATTCAGAACCACAGGCAGCTCCGATCCCAAACACGACTCCATATGTCAAACATGTCAGACCAAGGACCATATAATGAATATGAACCCACCCATGAAGGACCCTTCATCATCATTAATGGTTATGGACAGTGCAAGTGTCAGCAGCTGCCATACAAAGAATGTGAAGTATAATACCAACCGTCATCAAAAATTATATCAGATAAGTAACCTATTTTACATAGTAGGGAATAAATACATATCTAATTTTTACCAATGGTGACATTAAGCCTAATTTTCCAAACTAAGTGGAGACTTAAGTTTTTGAAGTGTTGAAGTATTTTAATTTTTTTAATTAAACAATATTGTAAGTGCTAAATGAAGCAATGCTCACCTTAATTTGCACTCTTGTTGGAAAGTCTAAAAATGCTTACTTCAAAATAAGACATTTCATGTATGTAATTATATACTGTCATGTGTAAACATTTACTAAGGTCTCCATAAGCTAGTATTTTCTACTGAAAACAGTTTGGAAATAAGCTACTGAGCAAAATATGATATAGATCAATACTTGTCTAATCACTGCTCTCCATCCCAAGTACCACAACTGGCTTGCTGCTTAAAAAGAGACTTAGCAAAGTTCTTTTGTATGATAATTTGGCATTTACTCCAATCTACAATTTATTGCCAGTGTGGAAAGTATAATTTCATGTATGCTGAAGACTGGTAAATATTAAACACTCTTCTTTCAGAGTTTTTGTCTGGTTTAGTAGGTATAAAAGTCCACATCAAAACATCAGAACCCTTTATGTAATTCTAATAAGCTGAGTGACTCTTTAATATATTTAAAGAATGAATCCAAATGATTGTGAAAAGGTCTCATTACAAAGAAATCAATACTAAATCATTACACTGACTTTGTTGTATCACACACATCTAGTTTGACTTACAAAGGGCATGTTGAGTTTTGTGCCATTTAGACAATTTAAACTAGTTTTAAATTACCAATTTACTAATTAGTGTACTAAATCCTATATTTACATTTATATGAGAAAAAATTAGAAATTATTTTGGAGAGGAAAAAAGATAAACTGAGTCAACTTCATCCTATGACTGGTTCCCTCTAGTTTGAAAGCACACACATAAATATTCTCTCCCCCACCCCACCCCCACCAGCCCTCCTCCTTCCTTCCCTCCTGTCAGGATCAAAAATACCTTAACAAAAGGGTTCAAACCTCTTCTGCCTTTTCCTAATCTTCAAATCTTAGAGTCAAATAAAAAATAATTGGCTAGCAACAGGCATAACACTAATTTTTGTTAGAATATAGTATAAAGAAACCACAAAAATTCACTTTCTAAAAATTATATGCTAAAATTTCACCTTTTAACAATAAACATAGATATTCACTGTAAGAGCAGTTCCTTTTTAAGTGAAGGGACAATACATTACCAAGGTAAATCCTGTCGTGGCAGAACACTCTACATGCATATGCAGCCACACAGTGGTGACTCAAAGGTGGCACTGAGGCAAGAGGATGAAAAGGAGAGGGGAATTTTGGTGAAAGGTTTTTGAAATCTGACTCTTACAGAAACAGGTTAGCTGAAGTTAAAAGGCAGCCAGCTGTGAGAACCTGGTAACTGCACATAATCTGCATCAAACAGGCAAGGCCCCTGACCTGCAACTGAAACAGGGAAAGGCTAAGAGATTCTCCAGGAGTCAATACAAACATTTCATAATGAGCAAATAAACATGATGGCACATTTTTCATGCAGAAAAGAGCCACAAGTAATTCATTTCTTCAATTACGATTTGTATAGAAGAAACTATGATATATTTGGAATTTAGATGCAAGCTACTGATTCACACAGAAATTTTCTATAGACAAGTTCCATGCATGTAGTAGCAAAAATTGTGAAATTAGACTACTGACTTGATTTTAGAATAATGAGCACTTTTACCACTGACATTTACTCCGTGAAAAAAGGCATAAGTCCTCAGAGAAATATTATCTCCTAAAATGTTATCTTTTCATTAACATAATACCCTTCATTCAAAGAGAATTTTCTTCCCTGACTAAATTAAAAACATGTTTACAGTTTATCTCATGAAATTTAATCCTAATTTTTTCTTCTTTAGTACTAAGAGAGAGCTGTCTACCTACATATCAAAGAAAACACGTCTCAGTAAAAAGCAGGCAAGATGACAAGTTATGGTAGGAAAGTACCCTCAACATTTTTAAGGTGGGTAGATTAGTTTTGGCTAAGTCTCAGCCTAGTCAAGTTCAGTTAGTCTTGAGCAGGGAGCATTTCATCTGTTCTTAAACCAGAACCTGCTTAGGCAGACAGAAGCTGACTTTACAGCAGAGAGAGCAGCTGCTCACTGCTTCCCTACAGAGGGGCTATATCAGAAGACCCCACTACAAATGCAAATTCCACATGCTAAAATTTACCAACCCATTTATCAGGGTGACCACAGCCATTTGTCAGGGGACAGCATTGTCACAATACAACCGTGTCCAGAACACATAAAATTCCACTAGCCCTGAGGAGAACAGAGGATTATTTTTCATCATTTCAACCACAACCAAAATTAATTCAAACTGTGAGAAGGGTGAGAAACATTGGCTGGGAATTCCCACATTAATCCTAAAGATTACAGTTTGTCAAATGGACCAGCAACTGGTAATATCTTTAATATTTGCAGAAAAGTAAATTGGAAAATCAAGCCACTTAGTTAATTCAGGGGAATAGCATACCCAAGGCCACAAAGACAAACACAGCCAGTTGGAAAAAAACCGATTTGTTTTTCTGCCCTCCATTTTTTTTTTTTTAAAGTAATGTTTTCTGAGAAAAGTTAACTAACAGTGTGCCAAGCTAACATTTTTTCTTTCTCATTTAAAGTGTAAACTTCCCTTTCCAGTTGCCTATAGAAGGCAGGATCCCATTTAATTTGGGTCTGTGTGTGTTGTGGTGTCAGAACCAGTTTGAAGATGAGGTTGTTAGTCATATGAACTCTCTTTACCAACTGGATAGAATGGAAAAGCATCACAGCTATACTGCAGATCCCGGCAACACAATGTTAGGGCTTTTGTTTCTCCATGTGGTTTTATCCTCTACAACCTTTCCTCAACTCCCTTCCTTTTCTCTTTTTTTAATTTTCAAGGTTAGAGGAAACCAAGAACGAAAAAACAAATCTCTTTTGGAAAAAGGAAAGCCAAAGATGGCTATGACACTGTACCAACCTAGCATTTAAGAGCTAGTTTGGAATCATTTATATTAATTTCTGTGGCTTGCCAGGGATTTTCAATCACCTTTCTGAAATGAGAGTAGGCTGATAAATTTGCAAATCTACAAACAACTCAGAGAATACCCACTGCCAACATCAAATAGCAAAGACTAATTTTTTAAGCCAAAAATCTACACTAACACATGTAATTTCTTAATGTGCCTAAGTTAATTTCTGTACCAATTCAATGAATGGAATTGATTGAACTTCCCAACTCCACAAATTATTAAAATCCATCTGCTTATTCTAATGCTAGTCACCAAGAGCTAGACTCCATCTTTCCAATAAAAATGAGTTTTATATAGCCCTAGGTCTGAACCATGAAATTCAAAATAGGCATATCATTTTCTTAAGACATACTTCCTACATACATGTATCAGGGAGAAAAGCTATAAATGCTGTTTCTCTCAAAAATGTGAATATCAATATGAAATTTTAAAAGAGTATTTTTAGAAACTGACTTACATGATCATTTTCCTAATACAGCAATACAGTAAGAGACCTATTTGGAACATCCTTTTCATACCTTATTAATTAAAGTGTTTCAACCAGAAAAATACAAAAATAAAAATGATAAGGTGATCCACAAATATTTCTCTTCTGAACCTAGGGCAAACTTGCACTACTTGAATAATTTAAGGCCAAAAACAAATAGAAACTGACTGTTTAAGCTTTTTTCATACTGCTATTGCAAACATTTGGAAACGTCTGCTATTCCTTCAACTAACCAATTTTTCCTTGGTAATTAAAAAAAAAGGTCTAATCTATGGAATGTTTGGTGAACTTTTCCTATCAACACTGAGACTGCAGACTAAAAGTACAGTCTAAACACATTGTGTTATATCACCTTAAGAGCCATTTTTTTTTTTTTGGTGGGGCGGGAGGTGGGCAAGTGGGTTGAGGGGTGGGAAGAAACACTACTATAGGGGGGGGTCTGGGGGAGCTGATAACAAAGTACAGTGTACAGGAAGTTTTGTTATTAAAATTGTGCATACTGTAAAAAGTGAGTCTTTTTTTTTTTTTTAATTTTTCCTTGGTAACCTATCAATTTTGACATGTGAAGTTTGAAAAACCATTTGTGACAGATATAGAACCTTAAATGAATAGTTGTTTTGTGCCATAGTCTCGACAATGCCAAATGTGTCAGTTGAAAGGGGGGCCATTAATCATCACCTGTCTTTCATTCATAGAGGTAAAACTAGGCTAATAAGAAAGAAAGGTTCTGGATGGGGAGGTGAGGGGGTGGTGGTGGTTGTTGCTGTGGTGGTTGTTTGTTGGGGTGTGTGTGTGTGTGTGTGTGTGTGTGTAAAAGGGGTTACATCTGGTTAAAAAGTCACCATGCCAATAAACCCAAGCATGCACTAAGAAGCTGCTCTAACACAAGTCTTAGCAAGAGGACAAACAGCTGTCCATGTGGCTCACCACCCTCCCCAACAGTAACTCCAAGTTGTTGTTTGACCTCTATACCTCAGACATCCATTGGGGTAGATACTAGTAGCACCTAATAGCACCACTCCTGGGAGGCAAGTCAACAGCTGCTGAGCATGCTGGGATCTCTAGGTTCCTTACATGATCTATGCTACCCCAGATACTATTCCAAGAAGTACAGATGGGGGAAATGAAGAGAAAGATTTTAAATTAGCATTCCTTGTTTGGGGACTAGAACAAACAGGATGCTGTGTCTGGGCAGTTGTGGGGAACAGAAATTGCCCTGGTGTAGAGGAGTTTACTGCCAGGAGTGCCATACTTTCCAGGGTGTACTTACTGTTTCTCCAGTTCTGGAGCAGTGCAGCAGAACCATACAGGCAGGGAAAAAAAAGGTCACCCCCTTCCCTAACACCCAGGGATGAGGAAATCAGAGATCAGGAGAGCTCTCATACCAGGAATCTCAGAAGTAACAAGGGCAGAGGCAGGAACAACAGCACAAACTTTTACTGTCAAACTTACATGTATGCACTAGAGGGCATAGGTGACAGTGGTTCCAAGCTGCACGAAGGAACAAATTCCTAAGCTTTTTTGGAATTGAAAGCAAAGCTTTTTAACATAATTCTCAGATATTTTAATCTTGAGAATCCCAGGTGAAGCTACATCTGATTTATCAGTTATTTTAATTAGTTTTGCCTGTATGCCACAGCATTCTCAGGTTCCCACTCAAATTTATAATAGATTTCTTCAAGGACTGTTTAAAGAGATTTTTTTTTTATTTCTTTAAATGTATCTAGCCAGCTGGGTACTCAAGTCTCCCTTAGAGAGACAAAATGTACTATAAATTGTCTTTTACAAAGAGAGGAGGGGAAAAGAGGTGAAAATCAGAGTGATTCCAAACCCTTAGCGTGAGTTTCAGTTTCCTCTCTACTAGTCAAAGTATCTGGAATACTCCTAACAGATATTGAGTCTCCCTTCCCGATATGAAGGAGACATAAAAAGCAAGCAATCACAAGGGCAAATACAACATGGCATCCTTTCTTGCAAAACCCTCAAAACTCAATATACCCTCCCTTTATACAGGGAGATGAGAAAGTGAAATCCAGATATGGCCTCCAACTCGGAAACTTCCACTAGAAACTCAATAAAATAAAGAAATGGCTGTGAACAACAATCCTGAAGGAGGCTTCCTTCACTTGGGAACCATATTTTAAAACTGCAGCTCTAGAGACAAACTCCAAAGCCTTTTTATAACTTTCATGGACCAGGAGACCTTTTGCCAAGAACCATGGTGAAGGAAAAGTAAAAATATAGTTAACTCTAACTTTACTGAATATTCACAATTGTGGTCAAAGTACAAGAATTATATCCTCACGTCCTAGCGTGCACTTACACACACACACACACACACACACTCTCTCTCACTCACACTTCTCTCTCTCGCGCTCGCTCTCTCTCTCTCTCTCTCTCTCTCCCCCCCAGGTTGCTTTTTTCTGGAAAATCAGACCAAAACTCCACAACAATTTATATTTATAATTTATATTAATTCCAAAAAGCTCAGGAATATCCACCTATTTCACCACCATCAAAACCAAAAGATTCCTCTTGGGATAAAAAAAAAAAAAAATGTTCCAGGGCTTAGTTCCTAAATACAGTAAGACCAACTGATAGTACCAAAAACCTCTGAAAACAATGTGTTTCATCATTTACATACCACCACTATAAAGTAACAGAAATTAAGAATGATATTTATATGTACAGAATACTTGAAAAAGATTGTAAAAAGATCAAAAGCAGGGAGTCTTAACCTTGAGGGTCCTGTTTAATTTTTAGAAGATTCAAGAACATCTTGAAATTAAATGGACATATTGGGTATGAGTCTAGTGATTTAACCAGATACTAAAGTGTTGTTATCACAAATAAAGTCCTAGTACAGCAATGAAATAATTTTTTCTGGTATACTCTGATGTGGCCCTATTCTCCCTTGCTCTTTGGTCAAGGCAAAGGGGGAAAAAAATGATTTTCCTCTGAAAATGTTAGCATACTAATTGACTTGGTGGAGAGACATTTAAGTGTAAATGTCTGTGGATTATTTATAAAATGAGGTGAACAGTAGGAATGATAATTAAACATGTCAGACAGGATCTCCAAGGAGTTTAGAGAGAAGGCAGACTTGTAACTCATGTCAACCTTTCAAAAAGCTAAGGTTAAGGAGCCTACACAAGTATGCTACATGCTTCATGGTCACCTAGCCTTTATGGTGAGCCAAGGCAGGAGCCTGGAAAGTTGGTAAAAATGAACATGTACTTACTTGGAAAAGCAATTTATGTTTCCTCCTTATCATATCCCTGGGACCCATCACAAAAGAGACACACAGAAAATATCAACTGTATTATATTACATATCTTCTAGACTAGGACTACAATTTGAAAATTTTAAAACCTTGCAGTACATCATGAAAGAGAAGCACATATTATGTATCATCCCTAGTGCTGATGATAATCACAATGTTCTCCTTAGGTAAGAATT